CCCCCCCCCGCCCCCCACTCGACACCATCTCTCTCTCCCAGCTCTTCGGTGTATGTCTGCTGTGAAATTGTCAGCCTGCCTTCCTCTCTCTGTCCCTCTCGTAATAGCAACCGGAGTACCACTTCAACTCCCCTAGAGACTTTACTGGCACGTACTCTCCCAGGTCCTTGCCGAATTGATCACACCTCTCCTTCGTCCCTACTGCAAAAATATCGTCTACGTGTACTACGAGAAGCAACACTACTTCCCCCCTTTCGACTAAACGAAAAACACACGAATCAGCTATGCACTGCTTGAACCCCAAAGCCAAAAGGCACTTCTTCAGTAACGCGCACCACTCTCTAGATGCCTGCCTCAAGCCATAAAGGCTCTTGTTCAACTGCACTATCTTCCCCGACAATGCACCACATCCTTCCGGCAGTCGGATGAAAATATCTTCCTTGAGAGGGGCCCTCACAAATGCCTGGTCGATATCGAAATGACACAACTCCAAGTCAAGCTCACATGCCAAAGTTGCCAACATACGAACACTAGATGAAGCTACAGTAGGTGCATACAATGTACTCCTTCTGCATGTCTCCTCTCGCAACAAGTTTAGCCTTGGCCTTCGTAGGAAAGCCGAACGCATCTACCTTCCAATCAAACATCAACTTCGACTTGATGCAATTGTCTATTCGCTGCTACGGTCCAACAATCTTCAAAGCGTCTGCTTCAAGCAATCCAAACACCTCACGCTTGGCCGCATCCATGAACTGCTCGCTGTGCTCGCTCTGCTTTGCCTCTTTGCAAGTCTGGGGTACTCGGAGGTCCTTGGCGTGGCAGCGCGGCATGTCGGGTCGCGAAAGAGGCGGCTCCATCTCGCGCACAGCTGAGTCGTGGTCGTCGCGCGTCGCAAGACGCGCCACAAGTCCGAGCGGAACGCCCCGCTCAGACGGACCGATCGACCAACCATTCCCCATGCGTCCCTCCACGCCGGTGTCCACCTCCGGCAGCATTCCCTGCCCTCTACCACGCCCTCACTCCTCACGAGCTGCTCGTCTCCGCCCCCCTTCTCGCCGCCCCCCTCCAATTTTGGCCGGAGCATTGTCTTGCCGTTCATGACTCGCCGAGCATCCAGCATGGAGAGGAGGACGTCTTCGTTTGCTTGAGCTAGCAGCCCCATGGTAATCTCGGTCGGAGGCAGAGGCGTGGTGACGGCATCGTCCTGGAGTGATGGCAACTGCTGGTCCACCGATAGGGCAGAAAGCTGTTGCTGGGCCATGGTGCGCACTTCCGCTCTCGTGCGTCCTCGGATCCGCGGATATCCCCCCTCGCCGAGTAGTCTCGAAGCATGGGGCGTGAGCGGTGCGTACCCCGGTGCGGTCGCCGACTGTGTGGTCCGCCGGTCTTGGTGCGACTGCGGCGGGGACTGCTCAACCTCAATGGATGAGGACGACCAGTCCGGGAGCGGCGGCGACGGCGACAGCGGCGCAGACCCCGGAGGCGGAGGCGAAGGCGACGGTCCGGCGGCGGTAGCAGCAGCGGGCGGCGGTGGAACGACGGATGTCGATGGCGCGGGCGGCCTCGGGAGCGGCGGAGCGGCAGCACCAGGCGAACGCGCGCGCCCCAACGCGGGCCCCGAAGGCTGCGGCGGCCGCGGCGGCGGCGACGGTCCGGCGGCGGTAGCAGCAGCGGGCGGCGGTGGAACGGCGGATGTCGATGGCGCGGGCGGCCTCGGGACCGGCGGATCGGCAGCACCAGGTGAAGGTGCGGGCAACAACGCGGGCCCCGAGGGCGGCGCCGGCGGCAGCGACGGTCCGGCGGTGGCAGCATTAGCGGGCGGCGGTGGAAAAGCGGATATCGATCGCGCGGGCGGCCTCGGGAGCGGCGGAGCGGACGCACAATGAGAAGGCGCGGGCCACAACGCGGGCCCCGAAGGCGGCGGCGGCGGCGACGGTCCGGCGGCGGCAGCAGCAGCGGGCGGCGGTGGAACGGCGGATGTCGATGGCGCGGGCGGCCTCGGGAGCGGCGGAGCGGCAGCACCAGGCGAAGGCGCGGGCCACAACGCGGGCCCCGGAGGCGGCGGCGACGGCGACGGTCCGGCGGCGGCAGCGGCAGCGGGCGGCGGTGGAGCGACGGATGTCGATGGCGCGGGCGGCCTCGGGAGCGGCGGAGCGGCAGCACCAGGCGAAGGCGCGGGCCACAACGCGGGCCCCGAAGGCGGCGGCGAAGGCGACGGTCCGGCGGCGGTAACAGCAGCGGGCGGTGGAGCGGCGGATGTCGATGGCGCGGGCGGCCTCTGGAGTGGCGGAGCGGCAGCACCAGGCGAAGGCGCGGGACACAACGCGGGCCCCGAAGGCGGCGGCGGCGGCGGCGGCGACGGTCCGGCGGCGGTAGCAGCAGCGGGCGGCGGTGGAGCGGCGGATGTCGATGGCGCCGGCGGCCTCGGGAGCAGCGGGACGGTAGCACCAGGCGAAGGCGCGGGACACAACGCGGGCCCTGAAGGCGGCGGCGGCGGCGGCGGCGACGGTCCGGCGGCGGTAGCAGCAGCGGGCGGCGGTGGAACGGCGGATGTCGATG